ACCAATCAGAAGGGAGTTCTTTATTCCCGCGCTTGTATTTCCCGCGCTAGTATTCAACACTTAGCAACTGGTTCGTTTTTATGACAATTCAAGTTTCCCAGACTCATATCCATTTCCGCGACCTTCTGACAAGCTAAATCAATGGGAAGCCAGATTCACTTAGCAACCGTATTACTAACTTAACAACTGCAATGATTCACTTATCAACTGTGGAAAGAAAGGTAATAAAATAGGTGAAAACTCACTTAACAAATGTCTTCCTTAGCAATAGAAATTTTGAGCTCAATTGTAGTTGTAAATCGGGGATTACCTGTATACCACTGTTTCTCTAAAAATTGCTAACCATAAGTTAACAAGCTCAAATCTGTGATCTTACTTCAGGGGTGTCCAACTCAAGGCCTGCAGTCCGGGTGCAATGTGGTCAGATCCGGCCCACGGGACTGTCCTGGTCTACCCAATGTGAAGAGGAAAGATCAGGCCAGCGTGGCTTCGGCCAGGTCTACCCAGTGCGAAGAGGAAATATGCCAGCAGTTTGGGGAATGGTGTCTAGCTGGCCATGCTCCAAACTGCTGGTCATGCCCACCAGCCCCTCCCCCTCACAGGGGTCAACCCCCTGAAGTCAACCACAGCTCTGATGTGGCTCTCAATGAAATTGAATCTGCCTTACTTAGTCAATTGGCAGTTGCTACCTATAACTGATAAGACTTTAATCACTTTCACAGTAAAGGCTTTTCGTTGCTTCCTAAGTGATTAGTGACTCACAGGCTCGAGCAGGTTAGGCAAGTAAACTGGCCAACTGGTGCCACTGCATTCATTTTGATGTGTATGTCCCCATTGTGTGCCTGATTATTCTTTTATAATCCTTTCCTCTCCAATGAAGGTAAACACAAACATCAATTAAATTCTTACTTATAGAAGTAATCTTGCCTACAGACTGACCCAATCTGGCTCTGTGCCTCATTTATGGGCTGCAGACAAGTTAAAGGAAACATTATGGGGAAGATAGTAAAAAAAAGTTATTGCCAGGGCATGTTTGAATCAAAAAGGAAGGTTCTAGACATGTTGTCAGCACCATTGGATAGGGCAGACCAAGAAATCTCCACAAGAAAGTTAAATTGACATTATTTATTAGCTGTAATAATAGTATCTTACTAGTCTGATGCGCTCTACCTCCTTCCCTTAAACATTGGTGAATCAGGGAAGCATTCTGAATGTTATTTCCTTGCTCTGAACTTTAAAAAAATTCTACATTTTCCTTTTGTCTAGGTAACAGTTCCTGTAAATTTCCATCAAAATTATTTTCCTTACTCTCTACATAGACCTATCCAGAAGTATTTATACTACAGTACTTCTACTGCAGCTGCTGTTTCAGTTGTTTTCTTTGGTCTGATTTTGGACTCAGACTATGAGGTTCCTCAGGGGTGGGTTTCAGCAGGCACTACTGCTGGTTCGCTCATGGATATGCTTCATGTGTGCATGCGCTTGATGTGCATGTGCAGTTCAATTAAAAATGTTCTGCACATGCACAAAACTCAAAAAGAAGATGACAGTGCCATCCGGAGAACCCGTTTGGAGGCATGGCAGGCCTGGGTCACTGCCGGTTCCAGTGACCCACGCAGCCAAACTACTACCGGTTCATCCGAATCGGTAGGAATTCACCACTGAAGTTCCTCTTTCAAATACTGGAGTATGTACTAATGGTCTTGCCCTTGATCATGGCCTTGATTGGACTGTATATGTTTTTTTAATTGCAAAGAAGCTTATTCAAAGAACAAGGTAAAACATAATTAAAGAATAAAACAGAAGGAACATTCTGTGCACAGAAAAAATAGGAACAGCTAGAATTTTAAAATATTCCCATCAAAGAAGGAACAATATGAAGCAGAAAAGGTAAACATTTATATTTGGAGACTGTGTGGCCCCATTAAGAACATTAAGTTATTTTCTATGATTGAATTTGGCTAGCTTCCCTGCAAAAAGAATCTGGAGATTTAATTTGAATAAGTGTCCATTCCTGTTGTAGAAAGTGGTAGATTTATTTAATTCTTATATATTATTGTAGAGGCTTCAACTCAGCTGATCAATGTGGAAATAAAACCTGCAGTTATTTTTTAATGCAGGGTTTTACCTGAGGAAGAATCAAGTTTCAAACTAGAGACTGAAGGTTCCTTAATTGCAATGCATGTTCTTATAATATAATATAGAAAGTATATGTCATGTTAAAAGCAAAAATGTAGACTGATGAAATCATTGCAAATTTCTTTAGTTAAAATAAGGTTATGCATTTTAAAGTTCATGATAAAGATATCTCCCCAGTTATTTCTTCTCCTAACATTTATTGCTAGAAAAGTATTTTTTCCCCGAAATTTTCCAAATTAGCAATAACAATAACACTTAGATGTATGGGGCACTTAGATGTATGCCCCATAATGCTTTACAATACTGCCTGGATGGTTTGCAATGACCCAACAATCTGGGTCCTCATTTTATCAACCTTGGAAGGCTGGAAGGTTGAGTTAACCTTGAACCAGTCAGTATCAAACTCCTGGTAGTGGGCAAAGTTAGCCTGCAATACAAACCACTGTGCCACCACAGCTCTTATTAATTTTGAAACATTTAAAATTATCTTTGTAGAATTACAGTATTCTCTACCATGGTGAGAATGCTGATTTTTTAATGTTTTTTGTTTCCTTTTCTTTATGTTTAGATTTTTTAACAGAGTGCCTTGCTAATCAGAGGGACTATAATGAGATTAAACAACGTTTGAATGAAAATTGCCTTGATATACAGTGCCATTTGGAATCTTTATGGCAGTTTCATAAAATAGAGATGGTTCATAATAAAGATTTGGAAGAAGAATTCATTGCAAAAAGGTGAATTATTTTAACATAAAAATACAGGTTATTAATGATTTTACTAAACGGACTTTTTGCCCATGATTGAGCTTTTCCTCAGGCATCTTCACAACAAACTGAGATAGTGATCAGTCTAAAGTGATCAGCCTGCTTGAATGAAGATTTGAACTGGTGTCTTCTCTGGTCTGAATCTGGTGTATTTGTCAGTGTTACATGTTTCTGTGAGAAAAAATGCACATATAACATGTAATCAAGTTCAGAGATCCCAATTAACTAATCCTTCTTCCAGTCATAAACCATACAGCAGGCTTCAATCAGTTGCTATTCATCAAGACTCTAATTGCTTCAGATAATTTCTCTACTATTTTGGACACATCCTTTAGAGTGTGTGTGTGTGTGTGTGTGT